AAAAAAAAAAAAAAAAAAAAAAAAAAGAAACTCCAAGGTTGAAGACCTCCTTGAAACTGCCAGAGATTCAATTCGATTCGATTCTTTTTTCGTTTTTTTCTTTTCTTTCTCATCGCACTCGCCTTAACAAGACGTTACGTTCGCATTAGGTTTTATTGCCATTGTTACGTTGCAGCATACGGCCCCCATCCGGAGGAAGAACAGGAAGCTGAGCCGCCGGAGCCGTTCGAGTACACGGAGGATTAAACAGTGACAAGCTGAGAACAACCTCCGTTCCGACTTTTAACGTCTGACTCTGACGCGACGCAAATTACTCATACACGCATACGCACTATAGCTCGCTGTTTCGTATAGTAGAGGCAAACAGAATCGGGGCCATCCCCTGTTCTTTTTTTTGTATAATTAATTTTCGTCGTCGTTGTGCCGACGAACTGACGGTTGTTCAGATTATTTATCGTCCAAGCAACCAAGAAACCGCCACGCCGTTTCGTTGTTTTTTAATAAATGTATAATTTGCTCTGACATTTGCTGCGTGTTGTTTATTGAAAACCTTGTGGAGAAAGGGAGACTTTCACGGTGGCAAACAGCTCGCTCTTGTATCGGTTTTTATCAGTTCAGTTCACTTTGAGTGTTTTTTTTTTTTTTTTTTAACTTTGTTTTGGGAATTTCCTGCAAAGTAACTGTTGTACATTTTGCAGTCAAATTGACAAGGTTGGTTCGTACGTATTTCAACGACGTTTTGAAATTTTTTGGGACAAAAAAAGTGCATACTCGTCAAACAAGACTCGTCTCACGGTGTCCATGGATTCCGGCCATTCTGCTTGTCGGAAATAAAAAAAAAAAACGTAAATGTTCCTTAATTAGTATGAGTTTGACTATAGCAGGTATCAAAACAAAAGGGAAAAGTCGTAATTAAAAAAAAATTGGCGATACTTTGAAGTTCGATTATCGACTTTTGCACGTTTCTTGTTAAACTTCGAAAGCCTAAGAGAAATATACAAAATAAAATTTTTTGGTTGATTCTGTTAGGGGCTATAGTCACACACACATACTAAATGCGTACTTAAAATTTCGAGTCAATTGGATCAAGTAGATTTTGAGTTATCGTGGACACCGTTCTGAAAGACATAGTTTCCAGAAAAATATCTTTAAAGTTTAGTATAAATTCGTCCTTCAAACAACCATAACTTCGTTAATTTTAGGAGTTCACGTGAAAGGCTGCAGAGATTTATTTTTGAAACTTTGCTCTTTTAAGAATATGCAAAAAGAGAAAAGATCGATTTTTCAAAAAGTACTTGAGCATACTCTTCGAATTTCATACTTTGTTTCTGAAGAAGTTCCGAAGGAGAAATGCAAAATACAGACACTAAGTATGCGATGAAGCGATATTGTCTTTGTTCAGTTTTTTTCTTTCCACTTTCTTTTGTTATTAGGGTTTTATTATTTTCTCTCTCTCTCTGTCAGGAACGCTACGAGTAGAATTATTCCTCAGAAATATTTTTTTTTTAAATACTGGCTTTACAGTTCCTTTATATTAAAGTAGTTCATACGTCGAGGAATGGTAGGTATCACGTAAATAACAATAATCCGTTTGGAATCAACCTGATCAACTTCGATAGATTGGAAAGCAGAGAAAGATGACGCGTAAATTTCAAATTTGCTCGATGCATCTGTGGAAAATTGGAATGTTGATACGTAATATTTAATAAAGCAATTTTTATTCAAAGTCTTTAGTTCCATTTGCTTACTTAAAAACACAAATGTGGGTGCAAATGAAAATTCGCAGTCGTTCGAGTCATGTCATTTTATCTCATCTTTCGGTGATAAATAATTCGTTCTTAAAACGATAATCATAAGTTTGCTTACACTTTCGCGAAAATTCGACAAAAATTCCGATTTCTTCTCCCGAAAGCATTCGTCTCCTCTGCCGCGTTCGCCGCGAATTATTCTCAGTAATCTGTTTTGAAAATGGCGTTTTAAGGAAGCGCTTCACTCGGCTCATCCGCCATCCGCAAGATCGTGAGCCCTGAATTCTACAAACAAACGTTCGCGTAAGCTCCTTCCGGGGACGGCGAATTTATACTTTCAGCAGCTGTTATACTTTCAAAGTTGAGGCTCGTAAAAAAAGTTGCGCGTATATCGCCGCTGATTCATGACCCCGTGTAATGAAGTTCTAACAACTTTATTTTAAATCTAAATATTCAACAGTATTGTGGTATAGGTTCCCTCTCTTTCTCTCCTGATTTCACATCCGAGCGTCGAACGGAATTTCAAATGCGATTAAACTTTGAAAAAAGTGGAAACTTCCACTCGTATTTACTTGATATTGCGGTTGCATTCTGCGGATTACACTTTTCTCCGAGTATTTCTCATGGATTTTGTAAGATTATTCTTTTACGAACAGTTTTTGAAAATTTTACTTCAGAATATTAAACTGTGATATATTATAAATATAATAAATAATATAATATAAATAAATAAATATATATATAATAAATATTTAATTATATAATATAAATATATATATATGTAATAAATGTAATGAATAATAAGCATTTAATTATATAATATAATAAATAATATAATATAAATATATATAATAAATACAATAAATAATAAATATTATATAACATGATAAATAATATAAATATATATATGTAATAAATATAATGAATAATATAATATAAATATATATAATAAATACAATAAATAATAAATATTATATAATATGATAAATAATATAAATATATATATGTAATAAATATAATAAATAATAAAT